CCTAGAACGAGGAAAATAGCGTGAAGAATGTTCATAACAGGTATACGGAAACGCAACTAGATTATCTAAAGAGGAAGAAGGTGAATAAAAATAGCTTTTTTATTTTCTAATTCACATAAAAATTAATAACAACGTTTTTCTTTAGCGAATTACGGCATACTGTAAAGTTCCCGTGTTTGATGGTAGAATTGATTATTACACGTATAAACGCGACTTTAAAGTAAATGAAGAAGAAGACGTCGAGGAAGTAAATATACAGAATTATTGATTAGTTTCTTATTTGTCGCAAGGCATATGATATACATTTTATTTTTTAGTCGGAGGTAGAGGAAGAACCAATAAAAAAAGCCGCAAATCACCAGCGAGTAGCCAACTGGGTTAAGTCAGTGAGCAAGAGTACAAGCATTGGTAGCATTGATAATAATAACTATCCGAGTCCAAAACCTACATATCCAGCAAAAGGATCAGATGTGATCGATTCAGGAAATCATAGTCAAAGTGGAAGTGATTCTTCACTCAATAAAGCATCATTGAAACATGGACCAAATGGTATGTATTTGTTCATCTCTATTTCTAGTATTTATTTTTTTTAATTATATTAATTATAATATGATTATATAGAATCATGTCAACTTGGCTCGAATTGGAAAATGCAAAGAAAACAAAAAATAAAACAAATGCGATTAAAAGCAATGAACAAGAAATTAGCTGAGAAGGCACTTGCAATCTGGCAGGGGCCAAGTAAATTTTTTTTTGGTAATTCTCTGTTTAATATTTTAATGCCCATTTATTTTATTTATTATATTTATAGATCCAGTGGAACTCGACTGGATTTGGAAACCTCTGCTCTAAACAACCTCCTTTGATATATGAGTCGAGAGAAAAATCTCTTCGGTATCGGTATTTGGCGATGACGTGAAATAATAATGATGACGAAAAATTCGAAATTTGATCTTTTGTACCGTGCAAACCGATTTTTCTGAGGATATTCTTTAAACAATCAATAACGATGAAAATATTCTACCTCTGTGCTACTTGATATGGACGTTATGTTATACCTGTAGTTGCTGAAATAATAGGCAATAATACAGTAATGATAATGGCGACGATATATTTAGCATGCGTTAGAGATTTATTCTGCTACAATTTTTATCCGGTTCTTGGAATT